TGCTGAGCTTTCTAAGGACTCCCTGGGCTAGTTTTTTCTACTCGATGTTTTCAGTACACAGCTGCTGGGTATTGGTTTGGTTTTGGTTTTGTTTTTTGTTTTTTTTTTCTGCCTGTGACCCTGACCAGGCAGAGAGGGGTCTGACAGTGACAGATGGGGACGCACCCCACCATTTGGGTCCATTAGCCAAGCTATCAGGTTTACTAATATGAGAGCAGCTTCAGCTCCTAATTGAATTCATCTGGAGACATTACAGGGCTGGAGCTGCCAGGAGGGCAGCAGAGCCCCTGCAGCATTGCTCCGTGATTAAATATTCAAGCTCAGTGAATGCTCAGAGTCTTTATGGGTATAATTACGGTGTCTCGGGCCATCGCCAGCTCTCCATCAGGGGCCTGGAGGTTTAAAGCCTTGCATAGCTAAAGCTCTGGGGTTCCATAGAGAGCATCACTGTTCTGGGCCTCAGCTGGCAAGGCACCAAAGACACAAGGGACACCATGGTGGGTCCAGCCCTGAGGGGCTCTCCCAGCATCTCAGAGCTCTTGGCCAGTCAGATGTGCAGTGACCACATACAGACTCACTAGGCCGCTCAGAGAGCTGAGTTGACTGCCCTGGGCTTCTGCCCTGCAGGCAGTGCGTGACACGAGCTCCTCAGAAGGCAGCACAGTGGACTTCTTGGATCCTGAGGAGATCCTGAAGAAGATCCCTGAGCTGGCAGATGACCTTGAAGAACCAGATGACTGCTTCACAGAAGGTAAAGTGGCGGCCACAGACCTCCTCACATTAATATTAATTAGCACCAGAATCCAGTTCAGCAAACACTATTCTGGGCACCTTTGTGTCCAGGGCCCCAGTCTGGGGTCCACAGGAGACAGGACCCCTTGCTGCCTCATTCCCAGGCTTGAGGGGCCAGCATCAAACACAAATGCCACAACTCACAGCAGCCTTGGGATGGGGTCTGCATCTCATGCCACAGCAGACACGGCAGACAGATGTCGTGCCCTCTTCATCGCTTTTGAAAACATGTCACTCGGTATAAACCAAGTTCTTGAGGTTGAAGAGGGGAAAGGAGTCACTACCATAAACGCTCTTTATTCGGGACAGAAATGACCCAGACGAGGGCCATGGCGAGTCTGTGTCCTTCGATCTACGTGTAACTCTGGAAGGCAGAAACTGTACCTTACCCTTCTTTTTCCTCAGTGTTTAGAACAATGAGGCAAGTTATGCTCTCAATAGATATTTGTGCAATAAATGAAGAAATACATAGTTCATACTATAAAACCATGGCCTCAATAACAAAAAGATTACACTTTTTTAAAAAACCAAACACTTCCTGTTTCCAGTACCACGTGACCCTGGGCTGGGCTGGACCCAT